GTCAAATGGGCGATTTGTCGCCAAATGTGGCAACCCTGCCTTCCCTTGCCATTTTATGGCAACCCTAAAACTGCTTTCCGGGGAAGCTATCTTACCGTGCCTGTACATTTCGTAACAATATTATTGTTCTTTAAATTCCATGAATGAAATACGCTGCAAACATTAAAGCATAATATAAATGTTTTTCTACAATGTATGTGAGTGTATGATTCATTTAGTATGTTTTTCTAACCCGAGAAATTTTTTTTTTTTTTTTTTTTTAAATTTTGGACAAATTAAATTTGATATATCCACTTTACAGAAGTAACAGAATAAGGGAAAAACCTCGGAAGGTCACCCCTCTCCTTACAAAACTTATGATTTTCAGCATCAAGTGCAATATAAAATCCTTAGAAATATTGAAATATACCTCCGATTTAATTTCTTAACCACTACAAAGTTGTATGTTTAATTACCTGCTCTTGTACGTGACAAAGCACAATCTTCGATAATAATCTTTTCAGTCTGCAAAATCAGAAAATGGCATAAATAACTAACGACGTGACACTAAAGCTTCTGAGTCATCTCGCGCATAGCTGACGACGAAATCAATAAAGCGAACGAAATCACTTACAACTAACTCTTCCAATTTTGCTTAAACTCTCATGCCCGAGGTTACTTGCATTTAAAATTTAGCGAACTTTTTACATGAATACTTACTAACTAACAAGACACCAAACTATATGAACAATTCCCTGAATTCTTGATCTTTATAATAGTGTGGATAACCGAAAGTAAGCATAAACGAAAATAGGATATAAATTTACTTTCTCGTTAAAATACAAGTTATAATTCAGCATTCTTTAAGCTGAAAAATGTACATTCAAAAAATAATTACAGTACGCATATTTGTATTTTCTACAGTACTGCAATATATGTGATGAGAATTAAATAACGTTGAAATAAGTAATTATGCTTGAAATTCTTTCACATTAAAGATATAGTATGAAAAATGGGGTTCTGAATTTGAATTTCAAAAATAAAGTTGTTAGTTGAAGTGCATAAAACAGTGAATACGTAATGACGAAACAAACGTTGAGACTGGAAAGCTCATTGTCGAAATCTGAGCTTCAGCCCAAGTTTATGATCAAATAAGGTCTACTAAGTTTCTGATCGAATTGAGTCTACAGTTCAGTGTATTTGCTACGTTTTACTGACCTGTAATTTTTAAGTTTTTCGATCCTGTCCTGTCTAGTTTTTCTGAATGAATTTTTCATTCTAGAAAGTATACACATTAAACTAGAGTCATCATGGTCAAGATTAGTTCAGCAGTTAGCCAGCATTAGCCAGCATCCTATGCTTCGCGGCTGAGCGACTGATGTTAGCTGATTTCGGACTTTGACGACAAGAGTACGCGAAGCAAGTCATCAGAAATATCGCCTGGGTATCCATGTTTAATTCGGCGATAGTAAGATCAATCTTTTGTTTCTTCAGCTGATGGCCATTTTAAATTATTATTTTCTTTACTATCGTTTAATTGGGCACAATCTTTGATTGTTAAGAGCACTTCACTTTGCCTTAAACTGAGTTCACGTTTTTCATCGGATTGATATACAGCTAATGACTGGAAGTTTCAGCGCTTACTGTTTTAATTACCTGCGATGAGATTTAAACATTTAACCTTTTCAATTCAGCTATTTTAAGCTACTGTTATCTCAATTAGTATTTAAATGGACACTAGTTTGGACTGTAAACAGCAACTGATAATTATTTTAATTTTTTTTAATTAAAGAAATAAATAACCTTTGTTTTGCCGTAGATTTTTGAATAAAATTCTACCAATCTCCAGAGATCAGAAACAGGTCACTCTTGTTCAGGAGAAAAAGACCTGATAGCCCTCGAAATCAAGCTTTAATCGAATTCGACGCTAAACTAATTTTTTTTTCTTCTTTTTTTTTGGGGGGGGGCTGATTTTAAATTTTAAATTAGCATGTTTATCTCCCTTTTATTTTGTTTATTTATATTTATGAACAGTAAAAGCTAAACTCAATAGCGTAACAGCCCTAATGGGCCAAGGTCTGCAGTACCCGAAATCTGCTTTCTTGACCGTGGGCCCCGGGGTGCGTAAGCATATGCCCTGAACAAGTGGTCAGCCTGTCGCAAGACCCCCAGTGTTTAGTTCCCAAACGAACTTAATACTCGTTTTATCGACCCAAGTGATGGAAATCAAGAGATGAAAGGCTAAGTCGACTTTGACCAACCTGGGAAGCATATTTCACAAGTGCACATCTGTGTAGCCACCGAGGGAGTGGCTTCTAGGATGGACCAATGAGGATCCGGTAATATTTCTGTCATGTCACATGACCTTTCGCGTGCTTTAAGATTTAAGCAAGATGGTTGAAAATATTCTGCAACACACTTTTCTGTACAAAATAAACTTTTCATTGCGAAGTTAGATCAAATATAGGCAATTATGAAGATTTCACTACCTGGTTGAAATAAATACAAACACATGTTGGATACTTCGCAAAAATATCGATGTGAAATATTACTGAATAAGTGGTAAATAAGATGAAGAAAGAAATATGTGATAAACATCTGAGCCCAAATGCAATCTTTACATAAAACTATGCGTATGAGAAAAATATTTACATCAATTATATATGTAAGTAGAAGTCAGCACTTTTTATTGCAGTCTATATGAAAAAGATGTGTTATAATAATAACCAATGCAGAATTTTATTCAATGCGAACTTTTACTAATTTACATTCGTATACATTTAGTGTGTTAAATTTCACATTTAATAACTGCTCACTCTTAAATACACTACCTACACAAGAAATACTCATCAAACATTTATCTTTTTCACAACGAATATATTCAATTTATTTACATATAATTTTTAATGTTAGCAATGGATCAATGTATTCTGATTCTTACACTTTAAAAATCAAAAGAATGCAAGCACTGAAATAAGAAGATTCATTGTAACCCTTTCAGTCATTCTCAGCTCAATTAAAAAAATATACACTTGAATTCTCTTAATCCACATAATATGCCGTGAACATCAATTCAAATATTAATGCGTGATAAAAATCACGAAAGTGAAATATCAGCGATTAATTAAAATCAGAAAACGAAAGCACTACAAGATTTCTACTATTACGCCATATATTTATAACTGCGAAACAAATGCAAATTAAAACGCAAACAACATATGCTCACATGCACGAAGATTTAGCGTCACAAGAGCAATAGCAGCTCATTGGTTCATATTCGAAACCCCTCCCTCAGTGGCTACGCTGATGTGCACTTGTGAAATATGCACCCGGGAAGCGAACCCCCGGACCTGCGGTGCTGCTTTTATGAACAGTAATCCCGATTCAATATTTTAGTTAATACTAATAATTTATAAGGTATTTTCTCCTTCCTTTTTTCATGCCTTCGTAGTAAATTTGAATATGCACCTAGTTGACCTTGGTTCATTAGGGCTCTTGAATAGGCACACTAGGTACCTATTCAAGAGGTCCAGATTCGAGTCCCGGCGAAGGCATTGCGCATTTTTATGTACTCCCGCATCAAATAACCTAATGTCTCTACTGTGGCACTCAAACTTAAAGGTGGTGGATGATGATTCTTCAACACCAGGATTTGGCCCCCTAATCCTCAGTCGCCCTTTAAAAGGGGGAGAATATAAGGTATTTTCCCTCTCCTTTCTGCATGCCTTCGTGGTTTAACGGTAGCACACTCGGCGCGTATTCGAGAGGTTTAAGTTCGAGTCCCGGCGAGGGCACTGCTCATTTTTCATGTCTCCCGCATCAAAAAAAAAAAAAAAAAAAAAAAAAAAAAAAAAAAAAAAAAAAAGAGTCAACAGTGGTACCCGAACTAAAAGGTGGTGGATGATGATTCTTCATCACCAGGATTTGGCCGGCTTTTAAAGAGGGCAGTATATAAGGCATTTTCTCTCTCCTTTCAGCATGTCTTCATGGTGTACTTGGAAGCATACTCGGCGCGTATTCGAGAGGTGCAGGTTCGAGTCCCGGCGAGGGCGTTGCGCATTTTCATGTATTCCTGCATCACATAACCTAATGGCTCTATAAGCTTTTGTTGCGTTTGTTTTCAAACAGTGTTTTAAGTACCTGTGATGGACATAAATGACTCAAGAAAGTTGAAGACTAGTCATGTCAGTTAGCATAAGAAAAATCAAGAACAAATTGTAAATCTAAATTAAAATGCGTCTTTTATGAAGTAAAAGCTGATTTTTCTAAAAATTACATAAACTTGTTAATGAGTCCCATCATCTGGGTATCAGCTTTAGTTTTCCAAGCAGGTTAGTTTATGCGAGATTATCTGCCTACAAAAGATGCTTTCACGGAGGAACTTTCACGGAGAGAAATTGACGCGTACTTGTGTAATACATGAGGCAAACTGCGAAATTTCCAAGCAGCGATTAATCGAAACCCGGGAAAAGCAAGAGTACTTTGCACTTCTATCCATTAAGCTATTTCCTGACAGAAGTGATTTTGTTTCGATGCAAGTACGAATCCAACGTGTCTTTGACAACTTGTCAGATTTAGATAAATCAAACCTGCAAAAATGAAGCGAATCAAATAAATTTTTCCTACTCACTGGCAGATGAAGAAAATGGTAACTAACCGATTCTGACGACGGGAAATAAATGTCAAGGTTGTCAAGATTATGAGTTAACAGTAATGGTAAGACCTAATGGTAAGACATATATGACACTGACATTTATCTATACCTTCTGTTTATTCTTACTCTACAAAGGGAAGGGAATCAAATAATTAAGAAATAAAATTATAAAACATATAAAAGATCTATTGAAAATTAAAAGATGAAGATAATGCATATTTTACATATTTTTAAAGGATGATACCATTTCTTTTGCTTCATATTTACGTGCTAATAACAAATTAATTATAAACAATCTTAGCCAATTGCAACGATCAATGGGTAACATCAACAAATCTTTCAATATTTTTAGTAATTAAGTACTAACCTGCAATGGCTTGAATGGTACCGGACACTGTGAACACCGATTTTCTGAAGACGCTTCGAATGCAACAACAAGATAGGGATGTGATGAGGGTAAATGAAAGAAGTCCCAGGCCGCACACAAAGAGGACTAGGGCGGCCTTCCAAAAATTAGGAAAATCATCAGAAGACATACTGAAGCTCGTCACAAAAGGAGCGCAGTTTTCAGTAAAAAGCTGATCAATCTCGTGAACTTTAATGCAGCCATTATACAGTCCTAGAATTAAATAAATACACACATTACGGATGCAACTAGAATTTGATTTAAAAAAAGTTTTAGAAACTGAAGCTTTTGCATAAATTTCAGTCGCATTTTAAACATTTCTGGAGGTAGTTTCTCAAAATGAAAATTATAGATTTAGGTATGAAAATGAATAAAGAAAATATGAAAACTGTATTTTGTTTATTATTAGGGCTTAAGTTCAGCCGAAGCCCGTTACTAGAGCCCGGTTTCGGTACTTTTCTGTTTTGAGCGAACGGCTGTAATTCCAGCCGGATCCGAAATGAATCCCAAAGGAAATACGCTTCAATACTTTACTGTACAATTGAATCACATTACAAGAAAATATGTTATTAATACAAATTTTTAGCAGTTATTAAAACATATTACGGGTAACATGAGGCAGTTCAAAATAAACCAAATCCAAAGCAAGTGGTCTCCTATGTCCTGCTTGATTTATTTTTAAGACACCTTATATAATATAATATTGCCTTACAGTTCACGTGTTCTTCACTTGCTTTGGGTTCGGTTTATCTTGGGTCACCCTGTATAAATTACCGGAAAGTCTGTTAATAATGCAAATATTTTTACACACTTAGTAAAACTGATATTAGGAGTAACACTAGCTACGGAATGCAAACCTCACTTTCTCTAGGAAGATAAAAATACGCGAGAAAACGTGACCAGCTGGAAAAGGAAACTCCATACCAAAATGTGATTTCTTTCTCAATAAAAGTAATGTTTATGGTACATATCCGGTCAAAAGGCTTTCATATTTCTTTCACCGCCAGTATAAAGTATTTTATTATTAATTTACTCACTTTTCCTCCTATTAATTATTTCACTTAACTTTCATTACGTTAATTAATATTTTTATTTATCAAATGACATTATTATAACTACGCTTTATTTATCGTTTCATTTATTACAAATTTTTGTTCACCATGCATAATGGCCTGTTACGGTACTCCGAAAAGGAATGTTTATTGGAATTAATATGCATTTTCGCTTGGCATAATACGTTGTACAACTAAATGTAAAAAGACACACTGAAATCGTTCTACTTATCGATTTGTTTACCTCTCCTTTTTCATGTCAAGTGTTAAATTATTACAGCCCCATGTTACCAATGTGAGTTATACACGATATTCATCTGATACACTATTCACACCAGGTAACCGAAGGGGCTTTCATGTGGTTGCTGAATAGGAACTGATTGAATCGGCATAGAGACATTCATTGATTTCTATGAATAGTCATCCCCACATTCTAAGCGATCATTCCCGAAACAATGAGCCGTATTTAACACAAGTCCAAGGAGTACAAAGGCGCATTACTATATTCCAATAATTTTGCCTGACACTTTCAAGGCTTAGAGAAAAATGCAAGTAATGTGATTTAGCGAACTACAGGGATGAAAAATGAAAATAAAATAAGTTTAGTGGAAAAGTAAGTAGATTTTAATAGAAAGATAATTAATCAAAAACTCACGCCCCCTTACTTATTAAAAATTAAACGAAATTCTTAATAAAATATAAATTTAGAGGTTATTAAACTAAGCATAGCTTAGTGGCGAGGTAGTTAATTAAAAATAATGAGTTTAAATATTGCAACTATTTACAAAAAATTTCATTTAGAAAATCAGATCTGCTTGATATACTAAAAAATCAAATATTTGTAGACTCGACTTTTTTTAGTATTCAACAAAGTACGTAAAATCGCTGTTTACACTATTAATAGATATTAATTTTTATGTCTTCAACTCCGAAAGCACTCTTCGGGTCCAAAATCCGACGTCAAAACATAACAGCTTTATGTGTAGCGCAAAAAGTCTTTTTATCAATAATAATTGCCTATCGAAATGGATTCTGACAATATATTTGGGATTTTGAGGTGATACGTGGATAAAGATTTCTTCTGTTTAAAGACTCATAGTTGATTACGCATGACGTTATTTATACAAACCCACAAATTTTCTGAAAACTTAAGTTGTAATAGCTTAAGTAAACATGCAAATGACCTTGGTTTCAGGAAAAATAAATAAATTTCGCCAAAATTCTTTGCTCCTGAAGAATACAGGATTATGGAAATGGAGGAATCACTATGGAAATCCATAGTTATATTTAAAATCGACCCCAATTTAAGATTACTTTTTTGTCTAGTTTTACACTGGCATCTCTCTCATCGAATTAGCTGTTTAGATTTTTTAGCACAAATATACTGTCGCATTTTAGTATTTGTTAGTTTTTAATACATTGTAATTCACGACTTCAAAATTTCTAGATTAATTTTTCATAATTAGCAACGTTTTAGGGCTCCATATGTAAATCCAAGACAAAATATTTAGAGTAGAATCCAAATATTATCCTTCTTGAAAACGACTATGCATTTTAAGGTCTAAGCTATTTTCTGATACTAAATATTTCCTGCCTTTCTATTTTCCTTCATTTCCACCAGAAATGCAATAAATAAATGTTTTAGGTAATTTCTGATTGTTTGTTATCAGTTTGTGTTTTCAACTCTAAGCTGCAATCTAGATGAAAATTCAGCTGATGGTCTTCGAATGTCGACGGTCTTCCCTGTACTCAAATTCAAGTATAATTAGACTGTAACTTTATAAGGTATTTCTCCCGCCTTCTTAGCGAGCCTTCGTGGTGTAGTAGTCTGCACGCTCAGCGCGTAATTGAGAGGTCCGTGGTTCGATTACGACCGTTGCAAATTTTTCATTTCTGCTGCTTCTAAAAAATACCTAATGACTCTACAACCTTACACATTATCATAAGCTTTGCAAGAGTGCACCTCTATACTGGCATTAAACTATACAAACATTTTATTAATTGAATTATCATACTTTCCTAAAATGCCGCTCTGATTAGTATGTTGATTAGCGATTCTGTCGTATGATTAGCCTGAGTTCAAATCACAGACGAAGTTGGCGGCATGGGGCGCTAAAAGTACTGGCGAGCCAAAAATTCTATCCAGAGGTTTGGTAGTACGGTAAGAGCGGGAGCTTAGTGGATCAATTTAACTAGTTTATCATTTATTCGACACAGCATTCAGTTTAGCAGCAATACTTGGCATTTGCTGCAGGAGTCCACCTTAGTTTGAAAGGCCCAAAAGTTTCTGCTATGAACGCTAGAGCACGTGCCTCTTGTCCCGAGTATTTATAAAATGTAGGTATCAACGGTAATGAAAAGGTTGACATCCTAGCCAAAGAAGCTGTCCATGCCCAAAATAACAAAAATAACAGCACGCACAACGTCACAGTGCTACACGCTATTTTTACGCTTTAGTTCATTACAAAGTCAAGCTATGAGAAAAATGGCAGGAAAGCTGGGCTACAGCGGATATACGAAGGATAATATTTCGCCTGATCCCGAAAGTCAGCACAAAGCGAGGAGTAACGAACTCAAATCTCAATTGATCGCAGACCATTCCCTAGTTTTCTGTGCAGATTCAGAAAACGTGACAGTAATTTACGTGAGCGTGGAGAGCTAGGGGACGCGAATCACTGCGTTTGAATGCCACTTGACCGAAAGATGGCACCAGACTAAGCTATAGGATGTCAACTGGCAACACCACAGACTGCCAACACATTATGCATTAACCTGGCAAAAAGTACATATGGAGCATTTTTATCGCTGGTTTGGTTTACTTGATTACGGCAAAGTACACAATGGCTATCTGCCTAAAGGAAAGACTGACATCGTGGAGAACTTTCTAAGATAAATTATCTTATATCCACGTTATACATAGGAAAAACCAGCAAAACAACCATGCACCCAGTTCGTTCACCCGAAATCAATCTGAGGTCAAATTACCAGTGTTCAGCGGCTTTACTACACTGCCACTGGTCAATCTTCCGCTTGTTCTGAACTGCATTAATGTTAAAATGCATTTCTATTTAATAGGCCACCAACAGCTGAGCGGTTTATTCTATTTAATAGCCCAATTCGCTGAACACTGGTAGTTCGATCCGGTGTTCGAATCCCAGCAAACGGGCTAGCTGTATGGCCGTTTTTATGGTTTTCACCATGTTTAACGTTTATAGGAGCCAGTTTCCCTTAGAAAGCCCTCCATGACGGCACCCTCCCTTAGACACATAGCCCTTGAGTACTTTTCTGTGATCAACTAACTAAATTCATTTGTATTTAATGTGCACAGTTCATCTGTATCTATTTGCACTCAGAGCTAATTATTCATATCAAACAAAGGAATACCATATTTGACGGCATATAAGACGCACCCTTATTTAGAAGGCCACACACAAGGAAAAAAAGTTTCAATAGTCCGCGCGATAACTTAAAATGTGGTACCACAATAACTTAAAATGTGGTTTCTTTTAGTTCTCACGTTTCGTAAAAGCCAAATAGACAATCATTGAATGCAATTACCAAACATATTTTTATTAAGAAAAATTAACAAACGGCAAGCTATTTTGAACATGATATGTAAATTTCAATAATGAATAAATGAATGAACGGCAAGCAATCAAACATAATACAAAATAAAGCAGAAACAACCAAAAACACAGATTCAAGGAAAACGTTGCCTATCATGAAATTAGGCTTTAATCACTTTCAAAACCATAAAAATCCTTTTCACTATCATCATCATCGAAAACGAGAATATCGTCATCACTACTGTTTCCGTCATCGCTAGTACCACCTTCTTCGAATAATGCGTCGTCTTCTGTTCCGTCAAGAGCATTACTGATTCCGCACTTCTTAAAGGACCTAACAATTACTTCAGCCTTTACGTCCTCCCAATGTCTTTTTACCCACTCGCACACTTGTGAAATCATAGAGGTAGGAAAGGGAGGAGGGGCCATTCCGCGCTAGAAGTGAAGCACTGCTTTGAAGCTTGGGTCACCAGACGAGGTGTTCTTTGTTTACATTCAGAAGCTCGCTTGACAAGATTCTGATAGTATTTCGACACACGACAGTTCCATAGAAATCGAAAAAGGGACACTCTCGCATGAAAGAAACATTCATAGT